GGTAGAGCATTTGCCTAGCATCCATGAGGCACTGGGTTTTATCCTCAGCACCACATAAAAATAAAAGATATTGTGTCCACCTAAAAAATAAAAAAAGGGAGAGAGAGGGGCTAGGGATGTAGCTCAAGTGGTAGCACGCTCGCCTAGCATGCGTGAGGCACTGGGTTCAATTCTCAGCACCACATAAAAATAAAATAAAGATATTGTGTCCTCCTAAAACTAAAAATATTTTTTAAAAGAGAGAGAGCAATGGGGTCAAATAGCTGGAGTCCTAAAGCAGAAAATCCATCAATCCAAAATTCAGTATCCAGCAAAGTTATCTTTCATAACTGAAGAAGGGCTTGCTTAGGCGAATAATGGAGGAATGTCATCACCAATAGATCTCCTTGAGAGACATGTCACAAGAAGTTCCTTAGAGAAGAGGAAGGTAATGTAGGTAAGAAACCAGAGCTACCTAAACAGAGGAAGAGCTCTAGTGAAGGAATGAGAGTAAACTTCTTAGCTATCTGACAGACAACAGTTTATTCAGAACTGTAGTAGCAGCCATATATTTGGTGATTGTAGCTCATCAATCAGTGAGTAAGTGACAGCAGTATTGTGAGTGCAGGGAGTGCTGGGCAGGGCAGTGAGAGGATCTCACCACCCGCAGGCAGTGCAGCATCATTTGGAAATGGGCAAAGATGAGTTGTAAATATGTATTGCAAACTCAAGGGCAGAGACTCAGAATTTTTTGAAAAGCAGCGTACTTAATATGCTTAACGAGGAGAGAAAATGAAATCACGAAACGCTCCAGTAAAATTGAAGAAGACGGTAGAAGAAGAAAGAAAAAGTCACCAATGGAAAATAATTATAAATATGATAAGATAGTCATCCATTGAAAAAGTGAATGGCCTAAGCTCACCAGTGGATAGACTGTCTGATTAAAACTCAAAACCCATTTATGCATTGTTTACAAGAAACTCATTTTAAATATAGATTTTAAACTATTATCACACTAATAGATGAAAGTTAAAGAATCTTTGTTAATTTCAGAAAAAGCAAACAAGATGAAGAGAATGAAAGGACAAACTGCAGACTGAGAAGCAATTTTGCAAGTACACCAGTGATAAAGGCCTGTCATCTAGAATACACACAGAGCTCTTGAGGCTCAGAGATAGTTAGGGCTGGGGCTCCGTGGGAGAGCACTCACCTAGCACGTGTGAGGCACTGGGTTCAATCCTTAGCACTACATAAAGGTAAACAAAGGCATTGTGTCCATCTACCAATAATAATAATAATAACAACACCTCAAGAGATAATAAGACAGCCCCATTAAACAACAACCAGAAGATCTGAGGAGTTCTGCCAGAGATGCCCAGATGGAAGCTAAGCACACAACAGTCTGCTGGGCACACACGGATAGGGAACTGCAGACTAAGCAGTCCTGAGGCACCACTACCAGTTAACATGGTCCAGATCCAGAGCACTCACTGCAGTGCCAGGTACCATTGGATGTGGCAGCAGACGGACTCACTGTTGGTTGCTCCTGGAATGCAAGTGGTATAGCCTCTTGGAAGTGAACATGGTAGTTTCTTGCAAAACTAAATACTCTTATCATGTGATCCAGCAGTCACACTCCTTGGTGTTGACCCCAAGGAGCTGAAAGCACATGTTCACATGAAACCTAGGCACAGAAGCTTATGACAGCTTCATTCATAAATACCAAAGCTTGGAAGCAGGGAATCGATGATCAAACAGTTGGGGCTGGGGCTGGGGCTCAGTGGTAAAGTACTTGCCTTGCATGTGTGAGGCACTGGGTTTGATCCTCAGCACCACATAAAAATAAATAAAGATATTGTATGTTCATCTACAACTAAATAAATATAAATAAAAAATTTTCAAACAGTGGTACATCCAGATGCTTGGAATAGTATTCAGGAAGGAAGAGAGCTGTCAAGTCACAAAAAGACAAGAACTTCAGATGCATAGTGCTAAGGGAAAGAAGGCAATCTGAAAAACTACACACTATCTAAATCCAACTCTGTGACACTCTGGAAAGGGCAAAGCGAGGGAAACAGTAAAAAGATCAGTGGTTAAGTGCTCTCAGGGTTCAGTCCCCAGTACCAAACAAAAAACAAATGATGAGATAGATGTAGGGCGACATAAACAGCAAGCCCTGTTGTAAACTGTGGGCTTTAGTTGATAACATTATTTCCACACTGCTCCATTAATTGTAACAAATATACTGCAGTAGCATAAGATGTTAAAAATAGGGAAAGGGCAGGAAATATATGAGGACTCTGTGCTTTGTACTCAATTTTTCTGTAAATAGAAAATTGCTTTAAATAATAAAACTAAGTCTTAGAGATGCTTCTGTGCTGCAGAGCTGGAGGTGGGAATCTAGGGGGTGCTGCTCTTCTGTAGAGCTGGAGGTGGGAGTCTACCGGGCACTGCTGTGCTGCAGTGCTGGAGGTCGGAGTCTAGGGGGCACTGCTGTGCTACAGAGCTAGAGGTTGGACCCAGGAGCTTATTAATGTAATATAGCCACAGGAGGCAGCTGTCAGCTCCAGTCAGACACCACCACGAGCTGGTTGTACAGGGAGGAATTGTGGCAGTGGCACGCCCCACAGGTGAGAGTGCAGCTACACAAGGGGCTCTCCAGTGACCGTGCTGCTGCTGCCCACCGTGGGCCCCTGGGGGGGTCTGCATCCCTGGCCTCCTGCCTTCAGCAGAGCACTCTGAGGGCTGGTGGGAGCAGAATGTCCAAGGCATGTTCTTTTCCCCAGGGAAATCCATACCTGGCTTTGCTCTGCAAGCAGAGTGGCCCCTTCCTTCCTGCACTAGGGAGGAGCTCTTGGTCAGAGGAAAGGGCTTTCTCCAGTGTCAGCCTTTGTTCCCTACGTGATGCAGAAAGGAGAAAACCTCAGGCATCTTCCCCTTTTAAAAAATTCATACATTTTTATTTATAATTCTGCGTAATGCTGGGGTCACTGGCATGCATTGGCACACATACATGTACATGTGGCCATGTGATTTGGCCAGTTTCACTCCCCAGTGCTCCTATCCTATTCCCCTTTCCTACTGGTCTCCCTTCTGTTTTCACGAGATTCCCTGTTCTTTGTTTTTCCTTTTTCCTCTCTAGCTTCCACCTAGGAGAGAAAACTCTGTGCCACCCTTGACTTTGAGTTCAACTTATTTCACTTAACAAAATGCTCTAGCCATTGCCACTTTTTAAAAAATTTTTATATATATACTTTTTTAGTTGTCAATGAATCTTTTATTTTATTTATTTATATGCAGTGCTGAGGATCAAACCCAGGATCTCACACATGCCCCGTAAGTGCTCTACACTGAGCCACAACTCCAGCCCATTCTCGCTTAATTTTTTTTTAAATTTTTTTCCTTAGTTGTTGATAGATCTTTATTTTATTTGTTTATATGTGGTGCTGAGAATCAAACCCAGTGCCTCACACATGCCAGGCAAGTGCACTACAGCTGAGCCACAGTTCCAGCCCTCCTGCTTACTTTTTTCTTTTTTTAATATTTATTTTTTAGTTGTAGATGGACACAATACCTTTATTTCACTTACATATTTTTATGTGGTGCTGAGGATTGAACCCAGGGCCTCGCACATGCTAGAGGAGTGCTCTACTGCTGAGCCACAACCTCAGCCCCCTCCTGCTTACTTTTTAATTGAGCTTTTAGTTGATAGTTTCCACAACCCCTTTTGGATTTGTTTGTATTTGTGACTTAACATTTTTTTTCATCCCTCCGTAGAAGCCTTACTTCTGAAACCCACGCGTGCAGCCAGCCTGAAGATCTCGTGGGGAGCAGGGGGAGGGAGGCCTTCAAGGGTGGGGGCTTTCTACATCCTGAGGTGCACGGCCTGTGAGGCTGCGTGGATTACAGTCACTGGAGGGGAGGTGAAGGTACACTTTCCTGCATGTATGTTGCACTTCAGTAACTAAATTCAGAAGGCAACCAAGTTGCCTGAACCCTTGGTGGCCCAGCAGCAGTCCTGTCTGTGCTGCTGCCTGTGGCTGTAGGCACCACTGTGGCGGCAGCACCCCTTGCACATCGACGGCTGTGCACAAGGGGCCTCCTGGCTCCCAGTTCTGCTTCGTACCTAACTGTGGTGGTCATGGCTATTCAGTGAGCTTAGCTTGCGTGGGTAACTAATGTGACCTGGGCATGACTGAGTACTAAGTCTTGGCGTCTGTTACCATAAGCCCTCCTGCTTTGTCCTTCCTTTAAGATGTCCTTGACCACTTTGGGGCCTGTACACTTCCAGTGACTTTCACTGCCTGCTTGAAGTCTCAAAGAAAAAACATGCTAGAATCTACCTGGAAATAACTGAAGGCGTGAATGTCACTACTGTTGGAACCTTCTTGTCCCTGAAAGTGTGTGCCCTGCCACTTGAGTAGCTCTTTAGTTTCTCTCAGTGTTTTACAGTTTACTATATAAAGGTCTTACACATCTATTATTATGCTCAACCCTAGGGCAGGGTTGAGGCTGTTGTGAATGGTAGTGTTCTTTAAAATTACTTTTTAGCTATTTGTTGTGCTAGAAACGTTTTTATATATTGAAAATACTTATTGATTAGAATAAGTTTTTATGAAATTAAAGTATGTATCACTTTTAAGAATCATTCAGTGTTCATATCATAGTGGGAATAATGTGTAAACTGAGGAACATAAAGTTGGATTATCCCCAGAGTTGCAAGGAAAAGCTTATTCCTAAGCAGGTGGGTCCTGTGAGCCTTGCTGGGGCCTGCTGCCTCTCAGCTGGTGTGTCTGGAAGCTTGGACGCTGAGCCTGCCCAGCCATCCCACCAGGGGCACTGAGACAGCCCTGAAGCAGCTCGGCCATGGTCCTACCCCATGGCTGCTCTGAACCCTCCAAGAGGGAAGACAGTCAGTGCTGTAGACTCCTGAGGGGATGGGCCAGGGTGGCTTCCTTCAGCCTCCTGAGGGGATGGGCCAGGGTGGCTTCCTTCAACTCTCACGTGCTCTGTTTTCTCAGGTCTACAAAGGAGAATTCCAGCTACCTGACTTTCTGAAGGAAAAACCCCAGGTACTGTATACTGTATCTGCTTCCTCCTGCTGTATAAGAGATGGGATCTTGCATCAAACTAATCTTTCTAAAGACATCCTGAAATTTAAAAAGTCAAAATTAGGAAAACAAAAGAGAAAAAAAGGAAAGAGATCATGATACGTGCTGGTGGTAGGAGGATTGGCATCAGTGCCTGGCAGTTTTAACAATCTTGATTTCAGGGAGCTCAGTAGCTTCCAAAACTAGGGAAATTCCTATTGATAGCTGACAAGGCCACATAGTGTTTCCCACCTAGGAGGGTGCGGTAGTGAGTCTGCCCTGCTCCAGATCAGCAGAGTGCAGGCCACCCTCTCTGTTCTCACTACACTCCCCCCATGGCCCTCCGGTTTCCTCGCTTAGCGCCTACAGGACCCAGCCGTTAGCCCTCAGGAAGAGTGGCCAGAGTTTGAAGCTTGTTAACTTTTCCTTTCAAACCAGAGTTGTTCCTGATAACTTCACACCCACTTGCTTTCCACCATGGCTTCCTGATATACAAGGAACAGGGAGCATGATGGCTGACGGGCCAGGAGTAGCTCCTCTGAGCATCCCCAGTTACCACAGGCAGGGGTTGGAAGGAACAAGGGCCACTGCTGGAGGGCAGCAGCCACCTGCCATCTCCCGATGCTGCTGTCAGTGCTCAGCTTCTTGGTCCGAGTGAAACTCAGCCCTGAACTCAGTTCCAGGCTCTTCTAGATGCCACCACATGCAGACTTGTGAGGTGTGCATGAAGCAAGCCTGGAGCAGACGGCTGCACACTGAGAAAGGCCCGACTCACACCAGAGAGGTCACAGGACAGCCGCCAATCCCTGATACCTGTTGCTTGAGAATTTCAGAGTTCTTTCAAGGCATTATATTTTTAAAAATATTTTTAGTTGTGCATGGACACAATAACTGTATTTTGTTTATTTATATGGTGCTAAGGGTCAAATCCAGTGCCTCACACGTGCTAGGCAAGTGCTGTGACACTGACCCATAATCCCAGATCCTAATCCCGTATATTTAATGAAATTCAACAATCCAGTCATTTCATTTACTCAGCAGATGTTTAATGAGTATCTATAATACATGAGAAATTGGAATTCATCCTTAGGAGTTTGAGGAAAAAGAAAATCTTTCCAAGAGACTCCCGATTTATCTGAAAAAACTTTGATCAACTTACAGATAGAGGTGTGCAAGGCTGTGGGCCTGACGTCCCAGAAATCTGGATGGGTCATAAGTGGACTCACACAGAGGCTGCAGTCATCCAAGCCAGAGAACGGTCCAAGAGGCAGTCTTGAAGGGACGTCAGGTCCAAGGCTGGTTTGGATGAATATGGAAGACGCAGAAAAGGGAATTGAGACCTATTAAGGGGACAGCCCTGGCCCATGGCACATGAAAGTCATTTGCAGTAGATTGTAGACCTAACTGGGAAAGACAGAATAATGAGGTTGTTAGAAGACCACGCAGGAGAATATCTTCATGACCTTAAGAGGAAAAGGCTTCTTAAACAAGTCCTAAAAGCATTGATCATGGGTCTGGGGCTGTGGCTCAGCGGTGGAGCGCTTACCTTGCCTGTGCGAGGCCCTGGGTGCCATCCTCAGCACCACATAAAAGTAAATAAATCAAATAAAGGTATTGTGTCCACCTACAACTGAAAAGTGTTTTTTTTAAAGCTCTGATTATTTAAAGATGGACAATTTGAACTATTAGAATTGAGAATATGTACTTATTGAAAATCATGAAAAATAATAAGCCTTAAGCAGGAAAAATGTTTGAAACAAAGGACTCACTTGTAGAATATAGATAATTAATTACTACAAATCAATATAAAAAGGTTTTTAAAAATTGGGCAAAAGACTTGCAGCCATGTCTGAGCCCTGTGGTTAATGTGGTTCAGCTCACACATAAACTTCACCTGGGAGACTTCAAGGGTTCAGTCTCCCTCTCTGGAACCCTGGAAGCCAGTCAGAGGCTTCGTTGTACAGCAGCTGTAGACTGTGTTTATTGGGAAGTCTGGGCTCAGAGCTTGCAGACCCTGCCTGATGTCTCAGTGGAACAGACACACTGGGCCAGCCAACTTCAAGGACTTTAAAGCATCTTTTCTTCCCTCAACAGACGGAGCCTATGGAGTAGCAGGGCCTGGAACCTCCTTCACACCTCGAGGTGAGGGTTGGGCTTCACTCCTGGGTTCTAGGGTGTCCCCCTGGGCTGTCTCAGAAGGCCACATCACTAGGTGGAGAGCACAGCTTTGGAGTCAGGTGCCTGGGTTGGAATCCTTCCTCGGTCACTTGCTGTGTGGCATTGAGCAAATTACTTAACCTCACTGTGTCCTAGTTTCTTCATCTGTAAAACAAAGGGCTGAAGATACAGCTCAGTGGTAAGAGTGCTTGCCCAGCATGCATGAGGCCCTGGGTTCAATCCCAGCACCACCAAAAAAAAAAACAAAGAGTGCCACCTCTAAGATGAAGAGGTCACTGGTAGCACTTAACACCCTCACGTCTTCAGGGACACACAAATAGAGTTAGATGTTACCTTGGTGATGAAGGGGTCTGACATCATGACTATGGAGAGGACCTGTAGACAGACAAGTCCACTCACCTTTTGCTGATGAGGAAACTGATCTCAGAGGGAGCAAGATATTAGGTCATCTCATGGAGCAAGAGGGAGCCCAGAGCTAAAGAGCATCTTCTCTTGACTTGTCACCAGGATCTTCCCATTGCCTCTGCTGCTTGCTCTCTCTGCTGGACTTGGACGAGTATGTGTATATGAGATTTTTTTCTTCTGTTTTGTTTTTCAAGATTGCCCTTACACTTTTATTTATTTATTTATTTGAGACAGGATCTTACTGCTAAGTTGCTGAGGCTGGCAATCCTCCTCCCCAGCCTCCCCTATAGCTGGGATTGCAGGCGCAGGCCACTATGCCTGGCCCTTGCTCTACTTAGTGTATCATGCTGTCTGAGATGGCTTGTAAGGGCTGAGTGTTGAGTGGCCAGCACGCCTTCCCAGTCCCCTGGGGACTGAGTGCATGTGCGTCCTCAGGTCAATTGTGGTGAAGCTGGTTCTGAACCCAGGTCTCCTGGAGGAGCTGCTCCCAAGTGCTCACATCCCAGGTCATTTGGAGCCCAGACAGTGTCTCTAAACACATGGTCGTGATTTTTTTCTTTAGTTTGCTTGCTGAATTTCTGTTTGGTTAGTTGGGTTTTGGTGCTGCATATTGAACCCAGGGCACTTAACCACTGAGCCACATCCCCATCCCTTTTTCTATATTTGATAAGAGCACGGTCTTGCTGAGTTGCTAAGTGCCTTAGCTAAGTTGCTGAGGCTGGCTTTGAACTTACAATCCTCCTCCCTCAGCCTCCTGAGTTGCTGAGATTACAGACATGCACCACTGCACCTGGCCTGATTTTTGCTTTTATTTTTACTTTATGTAATAACCATGTACTGAGTGCAGTCTTCAAACCAGGCATAAGCCCACAAGTGCACTGATTTTATTTATCTATTAATTATGTTCACATAATATATAGTTATATATATATATTATGTGAACATAATTAATATATATATTCTTTCAGTTCTCAAAGCATTCTGGCAGGTAAATGCTATTATTCCTGTTTTCTTAACTTATTTTTTAATTTTAATTTGTTATATATGACAGCAGAATGCATTACAATTCATAGTACACACATAGAGCACAGTTATTCATGTCTCTGGTGATTCACAAAGTAGAGTCACACCATCCGTATCTTCATACATGTACTTCGGGTAATGATGTCCTTCTCATTCCACTGTCTTTCCTACCCCATGTTATTCCTGTTGTTATAGATGAGAAAACTGAAGTTAAGAAAGAGAGATTGAGTGGGAGATCTTTGTGGTTCGTTGTGTTTATGGAGCGCTGCTGTGTAACTGAGTTAATAGGTTTTAGAATCACAGTTGCCTTTTTTCCAAGGTGCAGATGCTGCGTGTCCCTACCATGTCCTCTGCACACCCTTTGCATGCCCCCTTGCATACAGACTTGCATGTCCAACCACTGTCCTGCATCCTGGATGATTTTGTTCACCCAGGTGGCCTCAGCATCTGCAGGTGGTACCCCAGCCCTGCGGACGCACAGGGGCCTCCTTGACCCACTGGCTGGTCCATGAGAGAAGGCATTGCCTGTTGACCCAGCCCTGGGGCTCCCAGGGCAGTGTTCCACCCTGGCCTGCTGACTGAGCCTGTGGGTGCCCAGTCCTCAGGGAAGCTGGGGGTGCCGCGCATCCTGGGACATGCCCGTCCCTGGTTTCTTGGGTCCCTCTACATCTCGGTGCTCTCTGGCACTTTCTCTGCAGGGTCTCAGTGTGCACCTGTTCAGATGGCCAGGGCATCAAGGTGACCGCTGCACCCTGGATGCGGTGCCCTCAGTGGCTTCACTGAGCCGTGTCCAGGGTAGGGCTGCCTCTGCACTTTGCACAGAAGTCACTTGCAGATGCTCAGGGCAGTCCTGCAGTGCGCGTGCCCCGAGTAGGGATGGAGGCAGGAGGCAGGGAGCCCGGGAGTCCTAACGCTCTGTCTGTCTGCCCCAGGGAGCTGCGGAGCCCAGCGGAGCCCAGACGGCTGGCCATCTCCTGTGCACTCCAGCCCCTCCTGCCAAGGACGGGTGTCCGCTCCTATGATAAGGAGCCAGGGGACAGTGCCCTCAGTTAGCCCTACTCTTGTCCTCATCTTTTCTTAACAAATTCCAAACTTCGATTTCAAGGGGAGGGTTTAAAAATGGTATTCTGTAAGCAAAATGGGCATTTTCATTTTGGGATAGGTTATCTGTACTTGGTCCAATGTTTCGTAGAACACTTGTGCCTGTTAAATGTATTGATGTGGATAATATTAAATATCTTAATTATTTAAGTAATTCATTGTATTGTTTCTGAGAAGTTGGGAAATTACCGTATACATTTACAACTTAATGACTTTTGTATTTTATTTTTCAAAATAAAAGCTTTGAATGTGGAGCATTTCTGCAGTTGCGTATTTTCATTGGTGGTTTCAGAGAAGCACAGACCTGGTTCTTTTAAGCTGGGCCCTGCAGACCTTCCCCTCAGGCGTCCTTGCCTCCCGATGAAGTCCTGCATGATTCATAGAGACCTGCTGCGGCCCGTGGTCCAAATCCTGTTTTGCTCCTCACTGGCTGCTGTGTTCGGAATGGAGGAGTCAGTGTTCCCAGCCTGTTCTGGAGACCATTGTCATGGAACAGAGAGACTATGTCAGAGCACCCACGTGGCCAGGTGTCTTCTCATCCTGCCGGACCCCTGTCCACCTCCTGTCGGTCCATGTCAGGAATTGCATGCAGTCTTTTCTGCCCTGCCACTCAGGCCGAAACCCTGGGTCCTACCTGACTCCCTCCGACTTTCCCACCCAACTTCAGAGGACCCCTAGAACCTACCCCCTTCCCTCCACCTCCTCACCCACCTCAGCCTGCTCACCTAGCTGGCCCAGCGGGCCCCAGCACCCCTCCTGCTCACCCCTTGCCCTGCCCCTCAGTTTGAAGTGACATGTAATGCCAGATTCGTGTAATGCCAGATTCGTGGGACTCCAGGAGCCGAATCCGATGCAATCACACAAGAGTCTATTGCAAGCTCGAGCCTGGACTCACAACCGTTCACAATGCAGCAGTCCCAGGGAGTGAGTCCCAGTCCTTTGTTCAGTGAGATTTTATAGGTTTGGGGGGGGGATACTCTATGCGTCACAACATCACACAGCAAATCATTCCACACCCCGGGAAAGTCAAATAACAACTCTTAACATTGATTAGCACATTCACTGGCGGGAACAAGTTGGGGAGGGGTGATTGGTTAGTACAAGAGGAGGAATCCTTTGAACTGATTGGTTTAGGCCATGAGGGGTGTATGTGCTAAACTACATGGTTTCCCAACATGTTATCAACCACCATAAACTACTGGGGGGTCATCTGGCATCTCAGGTATTTTCCCTGACTCATGCTGATTGGAGGTTGCTATGGGTCCTCATCTAGCCTGAGTCAGGGACACCTGGCGCCACAGATCTCTCCTGTTATTTGCAGACAAACAACTCAGCAGGGTGGGTATGTGCTTAGGAGTGCTCTGTGGGTTTTTCCAAGGACAAGGGTCACGCCCCCTTCCTTAGGACAGGCCTTGAAAAAAATGGAGTCACATCAATTTGTCACACAGCTGCCAGGTCCTCAGTCAGGCGTTGGTTTATGTTAGTCCCTTGCTCCCAAGCCCTCTTTGATTCTCTGATGCCTGACACTCGGTGCCTCAAGACATCGTGATTCTCCCACCACCACAGCAAAGCCTCGTGTTCCCTCAGAGGCGGGCTCCCCTCTGCCTTTCCCTCTGCTCCTTCAGCCCCTCCTGGGCGCCTGCCCAGCCTCACCAGGGCTCAGTGCCCCAAGTCTCACTTCCTCAGACGTCTTAGTCATCTCTGCGAATTCCAAACACTGTAAAGTCACAGACACAGACGCTTCTCAGCTCTGTCCACCCCTGGGGAAGAGGCCACATCCCTGGAGAGCCTACCACAGGCTCGTTCCTGAGGGACATCTGGAGTGTGTGCCCCACACTGCCCACCCTGGAGAACCCACTGTCAGTGGACAGGAGAGTTCTGGAGGAGACCGCAGAGAAGCAGGGACATGACTCCACAGCCCTGCCACTCCCTGCTGTCCTCCAGAGTGGATGCCATGCTCCCTTGCCCACTGAGTCTCCTGCATGCACACAGCCTCATTTCTTCTGGTCTGAACACACTTGTGGGAGCCCTGGGAGGAAAGCACTGCTGTTACCAGGGGCACACGAGATCAGCTTCAGCCTTGTCCGAGGGCAACATGACATCCGGGAGGTCACAGCTCTTGGTGGGGCCCAGTGGAGCCCTGCACAGGGAGGGTAAAGGGCAAATGTGGGCCTATAATCTCAGAGAGCCCATGGGGCAGGGCGGCCACCACACACAGTGGCAGGGGACCTGGGAGGATGGAGGCTGCAGTCCTCAGTGACTGTGGAGGCATGAAGAACAGCAGCTTCAAGAGTCAGAACTTAGGAATGCAAGGGAGGACCTCAGCACCGTCCACTCAGCAGCCGCCTAAAGGAGTTCAAGGAAGAACCTCAGCACTGTCCACTCAGCAGCCGCCCTAGAACCAGCTACCGAGTGTCCCTCAGGCCTAGGCCCCTGCACCTGCCCATAGCACCATTAATGTGTTTTGATTCTTCCAAGCACTCTCTTGGGTAAGTACTCTCACTACATAGCAGAAGTGATCGTTGGCTCAGGAAGTAAAGTGCTTTGGCGGTAAGTGATGGGGTCCAGATACAGTCCCAGGCAGCCTGGCTCCAAAGGCTGGGCCTTAACCATTACTGTCCCCCTCGGTGATCATCTTGCAAAGAATAAAAACCGTCATTAGGGCTGAATGACAACTTGCTAAGTACCCACCTTGGACTTAGTCATTTGGTGGGCATAATTGTGTGTGCCAAGAAGTGTAGGCAGGTCACTGCCCTCAGGACTTCATGATCTTGGTGAGAATTGAGAAAGATGGCTGTAGAACCCCTGTTTGCAGCACCATCTAATAAAACGCACGGTACTGCCTACCAGAAAGGTTGGTCGGTGACAGATGGGAAGTGCTAGATGCCTGCTGGGCCCGGGGAGTAGCTCTAGGGTAGAACGCCTGCTAGCACTGTCAGGACCCTGGGCTGCTCCCCAGCTCCACAGAGAAAAAAGAAATGGCAACACTCTGTTCAGATTTGCCTCAAAATTTTCATTCCAAAGGAGCTGTGAATCCTGGGCAGTCTGGACTCCTGCTGTGGTACCGCCAGTATCCTCAGGTTGAGTCTGCTTTCCTGCTGCATTGTCACTGCCCCCTGCCACCCCCACAGAGACTTTGCCACCCTGCATGAAGCAGAGTGCTCCTTTAGTTATTCTGAATTGGGCGTCAGGCCATTTCATTCCTTTGTTAAGTCTTCACAGTTTACTACTTTGAGTGTTGGGGGTGTGTGTATTTGATTTTGATAGAAAAATTAATAACTTCTATTATCCCTTTGGAGTTTGTAGATAATTACTGAAGATTCAAAATGGGATAATTTTCACAGTACAAGTACTATAGAAAAACAGCCTCCTGGCCTTGCTCTGAGCAGGAAAGCCCACCACGCCCTCTGCTGGCCCAACTTGGGACGACTGCAGAACCTGAGAAGGTTGAAAGGTGAGAGGGAGGAAGGGTCTTGAGTACACACCATGCAGTGCAGTGCCTGAAAAGAGAAAGTCTGGAACAACCAAACCATGGAGGTGAGTGGTTGGATGCATTATGATACCCACATGATGGACTATCACTCAGCTATTAAATGTGAAGACATAAAAAGAAACACTAATTCTACCCATAAAAATAAATAATAAACGATGATGTACAAAATTACTTAGCAGAGAAATGTTCATTCTAAATTAAGTGATATTTTGAAGTCACAAAGTTGTTCAATACAAACTACAAAGTACTTTCGTTCTATGTTGGTTTTTTGTTTTTGTTTTTGTTTTTGTTTTCAGGCAGGGATTTGCTTAGTGGCCCAGGCTGGCCTCAAATTCTCTGTCCTCCTGCCTCAGCCTCCCCAGTCACTGGGACTACAGACATGTGACATCATGTCCAGCTCTGAACTCTTTTACTTCTAAAGAATAGACAAAAAAGCCAGGCATGGTGGTACACGTCTGTAATCCTGGCAGTCTGGGAGGCTGAGGCAGGATGATCGTGAGTTCAAAGCCAGCCTCAGCAAAAGCGAGGTGCTATGCAACTTAGTGAGACCTTGTCTCTAAATAAAATACAAAAAATGGATGGGGATGTGGCTCAGTGGTCCAAGTGTCCTTGAGTTCAATCCCCAGTACAAAAAAAAGAAAGAAAAGAAAACAGAAAAATAAGTAGGATGCTAAACTGATATCCCACTGACAATGCGCATCCCAAAACCCGCGTGATGGCCCCTCTCCATGGGTACAGTAGGCATCTTTGTTTTCTTTTGATTACCTCTTTTTTTAAAAAATGTGTTATGATTGACACAAATGCTTTTGGAAGAAAAGTAAAAAAGAAATGAGGGAGGCGCTCGGCTACCAGGGCGCGGCGCAGGCGGAAGTGGCGGACGCTGGCGTCCCCGGAGCCTGTGCCCCAGCGCTGACGGCGGCAGCCTGCGTGGACGCCCGCGGCGCGGCTGGGACATCACCGCGGGCCTCGATCCTGAAATGGCGCTGCTGGCGGAGCACCTGCTGAAGCCGCTGCCCAAGGACAAGCAGATAGAGACCGGGCCCTTCCTGGAGGCGGTGTCCACCTGCTGCCCTTCTTCGATTGCCTTGGGTCCCCCGTGTTTACACCCATCAAGGCAGACATAAGTGGCAACATCACGAAAATCAAAGCTGTGTATGACACCAACCCATCCAAGTTCCGGACCCTGCAGAACATCCTGGAGGTGGAGAAGGAAATGTATGGAGCAGAATGGCCCAAAGTGGGGGCCACGCTGGCACTGATGTGGCTGAAAAGAGGCCTTCGCTTCATCCAGGTCTTCCTCCAGAGCATCTGTGATGGCGAGCGACCTCACAACATGTCACTCGAACCCTGCTCTCTGACTGGCTTCTTTCCACCAGACAGGTTTTTTGTTTGTTTGTTTTGTTTTGTTTTTTTAAGTAGCCAAAACCAACCAGCAAGTCTTTGATGACCAAGAGGGTGTTTCTTTTCAAGCTGTTGGGCACACACAGTTGACCACAGATGACTGTATTTGCATTCTTCTGCACAATTATTTTCTTCCGGGACAGGTTTTCCAACCTGAGAAACTAGTACCACATGAATTTCTGGAGGGGAAGATGGGAGCCCTCCAGCCAATGAGACCCCAGGAAACGCCCTGCTGCCTTAACTGTCCTTTTTGGCGCTAAAAAGAACTCTATTTTTTAAAGTGGGGGCAAACAAAGCAACCCCAGAACAAGTGATGTGTGTTTAAAAACCCAATGAGGAACAATTGGTGATTTGTATGAAGAA